CCAGGGGAACCCCCCCAGCTCTCCCAGCCTGGCTCCAGAGCAGAGGGGCTCCAGCCCTGGCAGCAGCTCCGGGGCCTCCTCTGGACTCTCTCCAGCAGCTCCACGTCCTTGTGCTGTTGTTCCCAGGGCTGGAGCAGCTCTGCAGGGGGGTCTCAGCTGAGACAGGGGCAGAGGGGCAGAATTCCCCCCTCCCCTGCTGCCCAAAAATAACCTGGACCCTTCTCCTGCAATTCCCCTTTCCCTGCTCCTCCACGGCAGCCAAACCACGACCAATGGAAACGAGGGGAAAAAACCCCCAAGAATTCCAAGAAATGCAAGAACCAGGACGGTGCAAATGTCAAACAAAGAGCAACAAAGCCAGCCTGGACACAATTTCCACTATTTCTGGGTGGAAATGGGAAGTTGATGGTATTTTCCCAAGTGGTGACACAGCCCCTTGTTCCCTAAGGCAGCAAATCTGTTCTCGGCCATTTCCCACCAATTACTGGCCCAACCCAGCACTAAAAAGCCAAATAATTCCAGTTGCTCCCAAGTTTGGATGTGTACTTAACACACACAGAGCTCAAAACAATGACAGACATTAAAAGCAGCAAGAGACATATTAAGTGATTTAATTAATCCAGCTTCTCCAGCAGGATTTTCTACACAAATGGAATTTCCCAGGAATTTGTCTGGGCTCTTTCCAGGTGACCCAGGTGTGGAATCCACCACCAGTTTCCCTTGGGAGACAATTTCCCAGCCCAGTGCTTTCCCCAGGCGGGTGGAATTGTGTGATGCTCGACCCAAACATTTCGATTTCGTCTCATTATTTCTATTTACGCTGCTTTTATTTGACAAATTGGAAAGGTTAATAACGTGCCACATAAAACTAAATGGCCAGAACAATAAATATCCAGTGTCATTTCCAAAACACAGCATCCCTTTTATTTAGGTCTTGTGATACACCACCAGCGCATTGCTTTTCAAAATGTATTACCAAAAAAAAATAACTCTGAATTATTTTTATTTTCCTTAAAAAGAAAAACGTGTTGCTGTGGTTTGATCAAATAACTCTTCCATGGTTTTCAATTTCCAGGAAGGAAATTAAAATTAAGGGAAAAATCTTATGGTGGGGGATGAGAAAAGGAACATTACTCCAAACAGTTCAAACCTTATTATTTGATTCCACTTGTTGAGGTGATTTCACTCTGCACAAAAAAAGGGTCAAACTCCATTTGCAAGTTTTTAAATTGTGCCATTAAAAGCTGAGTGAACATTTGTAAAAAACAAGTTACAAGCAATTTCCTGGGGTAAAAAAAAAAAATAGATTATTAAGCTTTAAAAATCATATTCTCAGGGTAATATGTGTGTCCTGCAAGATAGAGATGAATGAACTCCCAGCAATAATTCACAGAAAATGAGTTTAGATTAAAAATTTACATTTACCTTGTGCCTGTATCTACCTTGGAAGTGACACAGAGGCAGGAGGGGGAATGAATTGAACACGACATGGACCCAAAACTGGATGTGAGGAACTAAATAAAACTCACATTCAAACCCTCAGATGGATGTTCAGGGTCTGAAATTGAAAAGAGAGATCTGAGCATCCCGAATTTCCAATATCTGGGAGTTCACACTGAGTTGCTCCCACTGCATTGAACAGCTGCTTTTTATTTTTATGTTTATGTTTATGTTTATTTTTATTTTCATTCCAGCAGCCACCAGCTCTGGGAGAAGGAAAAGGATTTTGGGAGGCAACCTTGGATTTTCGAGGCCAGTCACCCCGAAAGGATCAAATCTCATGTCACAGCTTTGAGCTTTGGACACCACCACTCATCCTTCCTTTTTCCATTCCCTGGGGGAAAGGATGGGATGGATGAGGCCATGGGTAGCAAATCTGGGCAATAAATATATATATATGTGTATATATATATTTATTTTGATTTTTTATGGGTGAAGAGGCAGAATTTTTATGGTTCTTTTCGACCATTCGCACTGGGTTTTGTACAGAAAAAAGTAAAAGAAATGGAAAAAAACCCCCAAAAAATAAACAGTTGGATGAGGACTGAAAACAGAACACACACAAAATAATTCCTTGGCATAAAGGAATGCAAACAGGTCCCTGATAATGCAGGGGAGAAGCTGCTGGTGTTATTAGGACTTCAATCAGAGAGATGCTCCTCAGAGGGGGAAAAACGAGCTCAGCAAATCCCTCTCCTGTGGGAAGCTTCGTGCTCCTCCCTCTCCCTCCAGCAAATTCCTCCTTATCACCTAAAATCAGGGTCCAACCTGAAGAAATATTTTAGTCTTCAAATCACAAACCAGTTTAAATCACTTATCAGCCAAATGTTCCCTGAATACAGGGCAGGCTGAGCAGATATCTCTGGTGGTCTCCTGACAGCTCCCTTCCAAATATTTATATCCCATATTACATCATGGCAGTAGCAAAAGTTTCCTCTAATATATTTTTTTTCCCCTGATTTTTCAATTTTTTTAAAATTGTTTTTAACTGGAAATAATTCACTGGGTGAAGGTTTTATGAGGTGTTTCTGTTGGTGGGATGTCACTTCTCCCTCACGTGTCCCCCTTGTCACCCCGATGCTCTGGGAGAGGAGTCTGATAGGTGGAAGTGGTTTTGCTAAAGACAAGGACACAGCTACACGCTGCCAGGCTTGGAATTCCTTGGTGTTAAAGCTTGGAAAAGCTCCTGGGACCAGCAAAAGCCAGGAATTAAAGTGCCCTTCCCAAGGTAAGTTAAGGAGTCTCAAGCCAGGTCAGGCTGAACCACCTCGGCTTTTCTGCCCTCAAAGGCTGCACAGGAACCACTTCCAGATCAAGATTATTCCATTATTTCCCCCTGAATTTCATCCCATTCCTCTCCAAATATTATCCTTTGGAGGATCATGACTTCCAGCTTATTTATATTGTCCTTGAGAAACCCTGAGCTGCTCTTGTCCACTCCAACACATCTTGAGAGGACCAGAGGGAACGGCCTCAGGTTGTGCCAGGGGAGGTTTAGATTGGATATTAGGGAAAATTCCTTCATGGAAAGGGTTGTAAAGCTTTGGAATTGGCTGCCCAGGGCACTGGTGGAGTCACCATCCCTGGAAGTGCCCAAAAACCACGTGGATGTGGCACTTGGGGACATGATTTAATGATGAACGTGGTGGTGGTGGTGGGTTGATGGTTGTACTCGATGATTTTAAAGGTCCTTTCCAACATTAATGACTCTGTGATTCAACAGCCTGGTCAGTTCTGCTCAAAATGACTTTTATCATATCTCAAAAGCTGGGCCCTCAGCAAATGTGGTGGAGTAAGGGCAGGTCAATGTGAAGTGAAGGGCGAGGTGAGTCACCAACAG